TGGCAACAGTAGTGAGGTTGGCCCAGGATAGGTCAGTGTTTTGTTCTGCTGTGCATAAGGTCACTATGGGTCAGTACCGATTCCATGGTACCTAACAACAACAGCAACATATAGGGTCACTATGAGTCAGAGCAGTGGCTTTGGTTTTTTTGGGTATAGGTTTGGGGAAAGAACCAGGGTTAGGTGTTAGGCTGTTAACTATATAAGATCAGTGGTTCAAACCCAATCTAAGGAAGAAAGATGAAGCTATCTGCTTCTGTAAAAATGTAGCCTTGGAAACCTTATAGGGTTATTGTAAGTCGAAATAAACTCGATGGCAGTGGGTTTGACTTGATTTGGTTTATGGGTGAGGGCAGAGGGAAATGGTGTAGGATTCTTTTTGAGGTGATGAGAACGTACTGGAATTAGTGTGATGCTTGCTCAACTTTGTGATTATACTAAGTGATACTGAATTACTCACTTTAAATGGGTGACTTGTGTGGTACGTGAACTCCATCTCAGTAAAGCTGACTGTGTCCTTGTTGATAGCATCACCGGGTAGGTTCCACCCTTATAGCTGCCCTGTCTAGGGTTTCCGAGGAGCAGCTGGTGGGTTAGAACCACCAACCTTGTGGTTAGCAGTCCAGTGGCTTTCAAAGTGTCCTGGGAAAAATGAAATGAAAAGATCATGGAATTTCCCTTCAAACTTTTGACGTCCCCCCCACCCCAACGCCCCCTTGTGTATATGAAGTCCTAGTGAGGCACTGTGAGTTAATGCACCAGACTGCAAAGTTCTTTGAACTGCAAGGTTGGCGGTTCAAGCTCACCAGTTGCTCCTTGAAAACCCTATACAGGGTTGCTATGGGTTGGAATTGACTCGATGGCACTTAACAACAACAACTTGTGTATATATATGACATATAACAGGTCAAAAGAGTTTATGTTTAAAGATCAAAAGATGAACTTGGTGGTGCGTGGCTTTTAAATGTGTCTATTGTAGCATTTGCCCCTGTGCACATTTGCTACTGCTTCCAAAAGGCTTGTTTTTCAGAGTAAGGTGGCCACTCAGGCCCAGCGTTAGACAGATGGTAAGCACCTAGGGGTCATTGATGCCTTCCGTCTCCACTCTTAGGACCCGTGCTTGGAGCTGCCATTGAGTGTGGCAGAGTCCTGACCCACCTGACCCGCCACCCCATCTACATCCTGAGAGGCGGTTACGAGCTCTTCTCGGCCAGGTATCACTTCTTCAGGACCCAGAAGATCATCTGGATGCCCCAGGCAAGACAGGGTGTCTGGGTATCTGGCTGCTGCCAGCGGTGGGGAGATGCCCTGCTTTCCTTCTTCTAAGACTCTCACCCTGCCTGGAGTCCTCTCAGGTTCCCCTACCCACTGGGCTCCTGCTCCCTCACTGCCCATACTCCTTCCCTGGAAACCTAGGAGTAACCACAGGGAAGTGTGGCGGTGGGGAAAGGGGTCTAGGCTGACTTTGCTGAGCCCCCCTGGTCCTGCTGCTCCAGCCAGCGTCTGGTGAAAAGCGAAGACAAGTATCCGACATCGTGTTGTTGTTAGGTTCCTGTTCATACAATAGAACAGAACCCTCCCTGGTCTCTGGCACCATCCTCACGGTTGTTGCTGTTTGAACCCATTGTGACAGCTACTGTGCCTGTACATCTTGTTGAAGGTCTTCCTCTTTTTTGCTGACCCTCTACTTTACAAAGCATGATGTCCTTCTCCAGGGACTGGTCCCTCCTGACAACATGTCCAAAGTATGAGAGATGAAGGCTCACCATCCTCACTTCTATGGAGCATTCTGGGTGGATTGCTTCCAAGACAGTTAGTTGTTTGTTCTGGCAGCCCATGGGATGCTTAATACTCTTCACGAAAACCATAATTTAACGACATCAATCCTCCATGGGCCTTCTTTCTTCACTGTTCAGCTTTT